ACCATCACAGAAAGGTGGAGGGTCCACAGGGAAACAAGTGGCTGCACAGCGGAGCAAAGCACCACCTAAACTCTCTTCAAAAACCACAACAGTCTCCACCTCTCTTCCACTGCCTGCACGGCAGCAAATACACCCAACAAATTCCTCCGCATCTTCCTCCACCACCACAGCTTCTTCAACCTCTCGAAAAGCACTGATTAAAAAAGCACATTCTGCTACCACCACTGTGACCACCTCTCGCACAAAGCACACAAAGGTGTCTGCACTTATTTTATTTACCATCATTTTTTATCTTCATTAGGTGTTTCTGTCCAGTGATAAAATTTACTCTAATTACACTTCACTGTGTTGCACAAGACTGAAGTATGGTTATGGTTGGATGTTTATAACATCATTGTTTATGTTTTGCTTATGTCATCGTCCATGTTGGTTTTCTTTAGGATTTGATAGAGCTACGCAAAGCACCACGAACTGTGTTTGGAGAGAGGGACCTGAACAGCTGCACACCAGCTCTCTCCAACACCAAACACGCTGCCATTAGGACAGAGGTAAGCAATGGGGGAAAACTACAGTACTGTGCAAAAGTCTTGAGCTGCTGCTCATGTCTTTAGATTTTCTTGCAAGAAAAGTTTTTCTTTGGACATTGGCCAGACCCAAGCATTTTAAGAGGAACATTTTTTTGTTTGTTAATCCACTCAACACTGACCTTTGATCCAAGCATAGAAAAGGGACTAAACTAAAGGGATGAACCAGTGTTTTGTCTACACATAAAAGACAATTTAGCAAAGAAAAACATTTAAATTGTAGCCTGTTACAAAAATAAATTGTTTTACTATGAAGTGATGGAAGAAAACGATAACGACAATAGCGCATTATGAGAGACATAAATGGTATATTTGCACCACCAGGGTGATTCCGAAAGAGCTATTGGCTGAAAGCTTTCCATAGCTCAGCATGGTGTGCATCACCAAAAAACATATTCAGCTCATCTACAGTTATGCAGTTCACACTGAACATGACACAGCCATCCTAATCCTAAACCTTGCTATTTTTCCTCCCTGTACTGCAACTAATTACCTTTAAAATATTAACACTGAAAGCTTTTTGTAGTCTTTGCACTGCATATGTCGCTGACCTCCAGACTTTCATTCCCTCCCACTCCCTGTGGCTCATCAACAGATTTACTGTCATTAGCTTTCATCAGCATGGACAAGATGGGTTTTTAGAGGCTTCTCTTATGCTGTGACAAAGCTCTGCAACTCTTGTCTCTCACGTTCACATGTAGGACTGCTTAACAGAAATAAAATTACTTTTTTATATAAGCTTATTCAGTTTGATAGCATTAGGTGCTATCAAACCCCATACTGAGCTACACTGTGTTCCCTGCTGCAACTTTTCCTGCTGGGTCTTATTATATATTATTAAGTGATATAAGGTGACCTTGAGTGTTTTGGAGGTGACATTAAAAATTGAATCATCATTACTCTTTAGCTGGTAAAACCAAGTAAAACAGAGGACGCAGCCAGCCGTAAGTACTCTTCAGCCACCCTGCCTGTCAGGACCCAGAGCAGCAGTCAGAGACCCGTACAGCGAGGTCTAACCTGTAACTGCTACTTCACTGATCGGGTCTGCAACGTCTGCTTGTCCAGGTAACTAACAAAACATCCTCCTGCACCTCCTGTTTACCTTGCACATGTTTTGGGCATTATTCTAGACAGTGAAACATTTATATGATTTCTTTCATTTATATGAAATATGATTTAATGGTGCTTGTGTCAGCTGTACAAGAACAAAAATTATTTATTATTAAAACTAAATTCTCGTTCCAATCCACTTCCACTAAACGAAGACTTGTTAGTTTCTGTTTTGTGTCACTTCTAATACCTCGTTCCTGTCCTTGTTTGTGACTGCAGAAAGTCGCAGGTGGCGCCCCGGGCAGGAACTCCAGGGTTTAGAGCACCAGAAGTCCTCACAAAGTGTCCCAACCAAGGCACGGGTGGGTGTCTCAAGTCATTATTTATAATACATGTTTAAAAGCAAAGAAAATAAATATATGTATCTACCACACTGCTGCTTTAGCCCATCTGCTTTGATGTGGTTTGTTGAACGTGATTTAAGGTGCTGCATGCTCAGAGATGCTCTCTAGTATTAAAAAAAACAAAATCTGTTTTCTCATGCTTGGTAACATTTCCTGTCATATGAGCCAGGCAGGTTTTCCAAAAATTGCCTAAAAATAGCAAATTTGGGATGTTCTCTTTTTTTATTCTTACTAATCTGCACTCTTGCACCCTCCCCTGTCCTGTCACCCTGCACTGCAGCCATAGACGTGTGGTCAGCTGGTGTGATCCTGCTCTCACTGCTCAGTGGCCGTTACCCGTTCTTTAAGGCCACCGATGACATGATTGCGCTCGTTCAGATCATGACCCTACGAGGCTCCAGAGAGACCATCAAGGCTGCCAAGTCGTTCGGTGCGTATAAATGTCTTCTTCTGGGTCTTCTGCAGAACGCAGATCCTCACTGCACCTGCAAGACTGCAGTGACTAATCCTGCAGGCAGTTCATCACCAATAGAGTCACTATAATTCTGCAGTGGAACAATATTCTGCAGCACAGTTTTCAGAGTTAATGCACTGCATAAATATAAACATGAAAAAAAAATCAAGTATAGTGAACTGAAAATGGTGCAGAACAACACATGAAACTTTTTGTGTTGTTTTAAATTTGAGGCCAGCTCCATGCTTCTTCAAAGGTCTTGTAGCAAACTCTGTAACCTGATCAGACCAGGGGGTGCAGTGAAATGCTTTCCTTCTCTCACGTGATTTAGGATTTAAGAATTCATGGCTTCCTTTGTTGTATTTTTGATTTCATGATGCTCCAAATGCATTCGGGGGTGACAGCTCTGGCCTGTAAACATCTTAGTTTAACACCTGGAGCCGTGCTGCTGAAATGAATCCTAAAAGAGGTTCAGCAGGACCTTCCCTGAAAAAGACGTATGCAGATGTTCCAAAACATTTCAGAGATGTTCTGGATAATCTCCATACCGCAGAAAGACTGAGAATCTAGGATGACCTTTTTAGCTCGACTATTTTTAAAAATATATTTCACACAGTATAGAATTATTGTTTTTATTAGGTCCTGAGATGGGAAGAAAAAGATTCACAAATCACTGTGTTCCGTTTTCATTTACATTTTAGTGTCACATTTTCAGAAACAGGGTTGTAAAAAACCTCTGTACAGAGTGATCTTATTTTTATGGGCTTGAATCTGACTCAGGTAAAGCGGTGGTGTGCAGTCGGGAGCTCCCTCGACAGGACCTCAGGACCCTGTGTGAGACGCTCAGAGGATTGAGGCCTTCGCCAGATAACAAAGTCACACCACTTCCTGAGGCTACGGCAGATTCCACTGACACTTATCATCACAAGATCCAAGATGATACGCCCACACACCGTCCCACTGAAAGAACACTCAAACCACACAAAAAGGAAGCAGATGAAACTCCTGCAGAACTCTTGTGTAGTCACACGAACAAGCACAAACATTCAGGTGGTAATGACACCGCAACTCGCCTTCCAAAACAGGAAAAGATGGGAGAGGAGGAGGATGAGCGTGGCTGGGACAGAGTTCCCGATGAGGCTTACGACCTGCTGGATAAGCTGCTGGATCTGAACCCTTCCACCAGGATCACAGCTGCTCAGGCTCTTCAACACCCGCTGTTCAAAGACCTGTGAGACTGTGCTGTGAGAGCACCAGGAACCAGTAAAACTATGATGTCCTAGGCTGTGGTTCAGGTGCAGAAAAGGCACGTGAGCATGAGAGAAAACGTTCACTCCTTGTAATGTGCTGCAGTTTCCCCCCTTCGGCTTCGTGGTTGACACGGTGCACCTCAAAGTAAAGATTTCTTATATTCACAGCAGCTATGATGTAGTCTAAAGAACTGTGAAGAAGGGCATTTTAAAATGGTGGAAACATTGCAGATATTGCTATAACTCTTGACCTTTTAAAGAGGGAATAATCCATATTTTGTTTACAGTTATCACTGCCATAAAGGCTTTTAATTTGAAGGTGCATATCTGTATCCTGTGAATGTGTGAAATTCTGTTTCATTAGTGTGTGCATGTCTGAGTTTGGTTTATTTATGGAAAACACTGAAGTGCCAGTTTTTCCCAGTTCAGGTTAATAATAAAGGCAAAAACAAAATGACGTCTCTCATTCAGGTTACATGGTTATATTCATTTAGAAGGAATTTATTTTCCACTTTTTGTTACCTGGACCCAAGAAAACAGTTCAGCATTTATTTATTTTTTGTAGTAACCTGGGGTAAAAATATGGGTTGTAGTGAAATAACTTGCTTATGAATTGCTAATATCACCAAATTTTGCAAAGTTTTTTAAAAATGGTTGAATGAATGAAAGGAATTATTTTCTCAAGATTGGACTATTGCTGCTCTCTTCTCTGGCATTAATGAAAAGTTGCGCTCTCTCGTCAAAACGCGCCTGTGGCCTCGATGTACGTAGCAAAACCTCTGACCCCACGTGTGCCTGCTCACAGCCTCGGGTTGGACCCTTCAGGCTGTGCTAAAGGCAAGAATTTAAATCTGTAGGTGATTTTGCTTTTTCAGGCCCCCTCACATCTGGAATGACCTACCTGAGAAGATCGAGCACACAGAGCCAGACTTCCTTTGAATCACTGCTTAAATCTAAATTCTATAGACTTAATTTTAAACAATTCTGTTACATGGGATACATTTCATTACTTTAAGTTTGTTTACCCTTTTGCACTTTGTAAACTTATGTATCGTTTTGTGAGCTACTTTTGAGTCTTTTTTTGTTTTTACCTTTATAACCTATAGCATCTCTTTGTGCTAGAGTGTTCTGGGCAACACAGGCTGCATGAACTTGAGATATTTTTGTGACGGCAGGAGAAACTGAAACTTCCAAAGGTTACAAATTATTTTTACCAAACCACAACTTTTACACTTTCACCAAAAATGAAAACACTTGATTTAACCTGCAAGTACAAAAGTTTGAAAGTTTATTACAGAGCTGATACAAACTTGCCTTTTTTCTTTTTTTTTAAACTTCTAATTGACAATGTATGCAACATTTTATAATTACACTGTAAAACAAAGAGACCAGCAGTGCACTAGCACTTTGTTTTGAAACAAGTAACAGTTTTCTGTTTGAGATGATGAGCTTGTGTGGTTACAGGTTGTCCTTCACCTCGATGAGTTCCTCTATCCGTGCCAACACGCTCTCAATCATGTCAAACGTGTGCAGGGCAGAGTGCAGAGCCTGGCAGGACCAATGAAAATGCAGTCAGGAACATCACAGTGCTTTCTTAATGCCCACACGCATAAATACGTGATCTGATATCTGACTGTGTTACTCACCTGAATCTGTGACTCTGGTGTCATGCTGGGCAGCTCCTCACCACCAACAGACACAGAAAGTACAGACTCTTCTGTGAAGAAACAAATGCTGTCAGAAAGCCTCCTCTGAACACTTTTGATGATGCTACATGTTGAAAAGTGCCATTAAGAAGTCGTTTGAGTTGGGACGAGTACAAAAGAAGCCTGAGAAAAATGAAGCCAAGCTACCTACAAAATAGAAGCCCTGCTGTACATGCATAGAGTCTCTATGTTGTACTAAAAAACTGGAAATTAAAGTAAGTGTTGCTGATCTGACCTTTAGCCTTGCTCTTCTTGGCCTCCATTGTGTTCTGCAGCTCTCTTTCATAGTGGGCCCTGGACATGTTCACACCAACACGAAGAGGCTTCATGAACACATCTTCTACTTTATACAGTTCTGTCCAGATGCCGGTCTTCAGCAGCATCAGAAAGCACAGATAGAGAAAGCTTATATACCCTTATAGGCCATCATGAAGGTGAACAGCTAGTTTTAAAATGTAATTTTTGGTGTTTTCAGCTCAACAGTGCACTCACCTGGTTCTCTGTCACTTTGTCTCTGATGACCAGGTAACGCAGCAGATTTAGAGACTCCATGACTCTGTAGAGATCAACACACACATGCGCTATTTCTTAATCTACCTTCCAGTCATTTCCAAAACTTTCAACTACTCTCGTCCATAAAGTCCGAGATTTTGTTGTTAAATAATGACTTCTGATCAGGGCGACACGTACACTCAACCAGCCACACCGATTCAACTGCTCATTAATTCAAATATCTAATCAGTCAATCACATGGCAGCAACTTAAGTGCATTTAATAAGTGACCAGTGAGTATATTTTACTGGCCTTTTTTAAAAACTATAAAATCAACAGCAATACTACTTTGTTTATACTTATTGCACAATTTAATATAAAAAGCACCAAAGGATGTTTGTTTTTTAAAATCTTATCGAGAAAAAGACTTATAAAATTCCTCTTGATTACACAGAAGTGTCCAATTAAATTTAAACATCTCATATTTTCTCAGGAAGAAACAAAATGAAACAATGTAATACTTTCTTTTAAACTGTGTATGATCCTTTTTAACAGTGCGTGTTGGGGCTGGCTGTCACACTCCTGTGACCCGCATTAGTGTGTGTGCACAGACCTGTCCAGGTACTGCAGGAGGTCAGTCTCTGGGCCATCTGGAAGAATAAAAACCTTACGCAGCAGAGGCATGAGCTGAATGCCTTCAAACCAGACGTTACTGTTACCTGGCTGGAGACAGAGCGATAAAGATTCTTTTAGGTCCCCCAAGAAATTTTAAACATGGCCCACACTGCCATTTTTTCCTTTAATGTACATCTTCACCTGCAGGGCAATGTCTATCTGATTCTTGATATTTTTAATGATGTAGCCTTCAACTCCTGAGTGGTTACTCGTCTTCAACATGTACCTGAAACAAGGACACAGGTCGCTTGCAATGGGAAGTGGAAAAGACACATTTCTGATTAATTTTCAGGGAAGAAAGGTGGAGCTCACTGGAAGAATCTGTACTTGGCTTCAGTGTTGAACTTATCAATGCTCAGCTGGAAAACCTTCAGTCCTTTAGTTCTCTGAAGACAAAAAGAAGTATCGTCAAAATTGAGTCCCAAGATAAGTTTCATTCTAGGTACCAAAAACGAGATGAAGGTGACACAAATGAAAGCCGATTTCAAACCAAATGATCTGACATTAGATTTTAAACACATCAAAATTGATTAAAAACTTACCAGTTCATGCTTTGGACATATCGTCATGACCTTTATTAAGTTCTGAAATTAAACACTGACATTAATAACATTATATGACGCACACAAAACACAACAGTAGACCCAACAGGTCTATAATGAAGCGACTGCATTCACCTGAGGGACTGTGAGGAAGGTTTTAATCTCCAGCAGGTCGGCACGCAGACTGCCGTCCTCGACTCGCACCAGACTTTTCTCATACAGCTCCTGTGTGATGCACATCCATCATACACTGATGACTGCTTTTAATGTGCAGAAGAAGATTTAAGTAACACAGTGACCATTTACACTGGCAGGTAACGACCCTTACAGCCTCATTCTTTTTCTTCTTTGGCTTCTTCTGATTGGCTATTATAAGAAAAAAATGTGGGGAACCTCAAGTTTTAGAGTCTAAAGCCTCTCCAAATGCTAACCTCATTATTTGAAAACTTGGCCATGTTGAATATGAGCATCCAAGATGATGACCGTACATATCAAACCATAAGAAAAACTTTTCATAAGCTTTTAAACATGTTGTGTTTAATTAAAATAGCACCATGGAAATATATAGGATTAAATCCAGGAGTCACGTATTGACTCCTGGATGATTAAGGTCATTATAATTTATGTAATAAATAACTAATAAATAAGTAAAAATGTCACCTACCAGTCCTTTCTGAAGCTTGGACTCCTCAGTTCTATAAAAGATAGATATCACTGATTACAGGTTGATCATTGAAGTGGACACTTATGGTATATGTGTGTGTTATATATGTGTGTATAATGTGCATATTCATATTTTACAGCTTTTGTAAAACGCTAACAAAGATTATAACACGACACATTATTATGTCATGTTACCTGGACAGGAGGACAGAGACGTGCTCGATGTTACATCGAAGACTGAACACGGGACTGCAGAGAGAATACGGAGTGTTGGGAGCATTAACATTATTTAAATGTTTCAGTATTTGTTAATGTAGAACTACTGAAACACCCAAGTACAGATTCATTTCAAGCCAAGTGTGAATAATCCCACATTGTGCATCCCAGGAGAAAAATATGTTTTCAAAATACCTGAAAACAGTGGGGAAGGTGTCTGCAGCCAGGTGATGGACAAACACCAGATGAGCCAAGCTGGCCAAAGACTCTTTAGGATAACGCACCTCCTCCTCGAGAAAGCCGGGAACCTGCTTTCTCTTCAAAAGAGGCTGGTGCACGAGACTGCTGAGGGACTCCCCGATAGAACCGAGGATGTTCTGCAGGACACAGAAAACCACGATTACCACGATATGCAAGTACGTGACGAACCGATGACATATTAGAAACCAGCAATGACACCATTTACACGTTTGAAAAATGGGTTTACCAAAATCTCGGTGGCAAAAGTCCTGAGGGGGGACAGAGCCAGCGTGTCAGGATCCTTGAGGTGTACTTCCAACAGAGGATGACTCAGACTCTTCATACAGCTCAAGAGGAGACAAACAAAAAGGAAGCCTCAGCATCATCAGTTTTCAAGAACCCTGCAGCGCCTTTCTATGACATTATGTCGGACTATCAAACGTGAGTCTGAGCTGGAAAACGCATTTTTTTTCCACTCACAACTTCAGAAGTTCTGTCCGCAGCTCATCCTCTTTATCCTTCCCCTGTCTGCCCACAGTCCTGTTTGCAGTCTCGCTCTGCATCTCATTATTCAGCAGGTTATGCCTGACTTCTTGAACAAAAGGTCTGACGAAATCTATCATGTCAGTGCAGCACCGGCAAAACGAAAAGACGTCATCCTCCTCTTGCTCCTTGGTGTGAGGGAGAGGCAGTTTGGCCACCTGGTCCAGCACGGACGACAGCGCCATGCCCAAGGATGACGCCTTACGGCCGCCCAGGCGCACGAGCACTGTTCGAAGCGAGAAAAAGAGAATACATCACAATAATAATAGCAAGAAAAAGCACCCAAACAGCAATATGCAACATATACAGTCAGCTCCATAAATATTGGGACATCGACACAATTCTAACATTTTTGGCTCTATACACCACCATAATGGATTCCAAATGAAACAAACAAGATGTGCTTTAACTGCAGACTGTCAGCTTTTATTTGAGGGTATTTACATCCAAATCAGGTGAACGGTGTAGAAATTACAACAGTTTGCATAAGTGCCTCCCACTTGTTAACGGACTAAAAGTAAGGGGACAGGATAAGAACCATAAATCAAACTTTCACTTTTTAATACTTGGTTGCAAATCCTTTGCAGTCAATCACAGCCTGAAGTCTGGAACACATAGACATCACCAGAGGCTGGGTTTCATCCCTGGTGATGCTCTGCCAGGCCTCCAATGCAACCGTCTTCAGTTCCTGCTTGTTCTTGGGGCATTTTCCCTTCAGTTTTGTCTTCGGCAAGTGAAATGCATGCTCAGTAGGATTCAGGTCAGGTGATTGACTTGGCCATTGCAAAACAGTCCACTTCTTTCCCTTCAAAAACTCTGCTTTTGCAGTATGCTTTGGGTCATTGTCCATCTGCACTGTGAAGCGCCGTCTAATGAGTTCTGAATCACTTGGGTGAATATATGAGCAGATAATACTGCCCGAAACACTTCAGAATTCATTGTACTGCTTTTGTCAGCAGTCACATCATCAATAAATACAAGAGAACCAGCTCCACTGGCAGCCATACATGCCCATGCCATGACACTTGCAGCACCATGCTTCACAGATGAGGTGGTATGCTTAGGATCATGAGCACTTCCTTTCCTTCTCTATACTCCTCTCTTCCCATAACTCTGGTACAAATCGATCTCGGTCTCATCTATCCATAGGATGTTGTTCCAGAAGTGTGAAGGCTTTTTTTAGATGTCGTTTGGCAAACTCTAATCTGGCTTTCCTGTTTTTGGGGCTCACCATTGGTTTACATCTTGCGGTGAACCCTCTGTATTCACAATGGTGGAGTCTTCTCTTGATTTTTGACTTTGAGAGTGTTCTTGATCTGGCCAACTGTTGTGAAGGGTGTTTTCTTCACCAGGGAAAGGATCCTTCGGTCATCCACTATAGTTGTTTTCCGTCTTCCGGTGTTCTGACAAAGCATCCTACTTTGGCAAAACGTCCTACCGTAAGTAGTTTATCCAAATTTCTGCTGTCACAGAGTAATTCCAGCACAAATTTAAGTGGGTATGACGGTTTGCCACTTACCTTTGCCCATCAGAGTAAGTTTCTAGCTCATAATTATAAAGCCAGGACGGCTTGCCACTTCATTTTACCTGTCAGAGTATGCCTCTAGCTCTTATTAACAAAGGAAAAATGATTTGCCACTTCATTTTAGCCGTTAAAGTATGCTTCTAGCTCAGATTAACAAAGGTAGGACAATTTGCCACTAAATTTTAGCTGTTAAAGTATACTTGTAGGTCACATTCAAAAAGGTAGGATGGTTTGGCACTTCATTTCGTGTTGTGCGCATGCGCAAAAACAACGGGTAGGATGGTTTGTAGGTAGGATGGATTCCCAGAACACCGCTGAGCTCACCGGTGCATTCCTTCTTTTTGAGAATGTTCCAAACAGTTGTTTTGGCCACGCCTAATGTTTTTGCTATCTCTCCGATGGGTTTGTTTTGTTTTTTTCAGCCTAATGATGGCTTGCTTCACTGATAGCGACAGCTCTTTGGATCTCTTCTTGGCAGTTGACAGCAACAGGTTGCAAAGGCAAATAGCACACTTGAAAGGAACTCTGGAGCTTTTATCTGCTCATTGTAATTGGGATAATGAGGGAATAACACACACCTGGCCATGGAACAGCTGAGAAGCCAATTGTCCCATTACTTTTGGTCCCTTAACAAGTGGGAGGCACTTATGCAAACTGTCGTAATTCCTACACTGTTCACCTGATTTGGATGTAAATACCCTCAAATGAAAGCTGAGAGTCTGCAGTTAAAGCACATCTTATTCGTTTCATTTGGAATCCATAGTGGTGGTATACAGAGCCAAAAATGTTAGAATTGTGTCGATGTCCCAATATTTATGGAGCTGACTGTATGTAAGACAAGAAGAAAACCAGTAAGAAGAGTAGCATGATGACTAAAAGATGACTAAAAAGATTCTTTACCTTTCTGTAAAGGCTTCAAGAGCAGATGGAGACTCTCTGCTATTGTATCAGGATCATCCTGCTCCAGCTGCTCCAACAGGCCGATCAGCAGCTCTTTCGGTCTGCACGTCTGCAAAAACAACCACAAAGATCACCCTTACAATGCCACATTCATCCAGTTTTCATCAGTGATGTTTTATCTTAAGTCCACTCCTGACCACTGACCTCCAGCAGGTGGTTAAAAATGGCCAGACACTGAGGAAGATTCTTGTCTTCTTTCTTCAGCAGGACCTGGATCAGCGGAGGCAGCAGGTTCCAACCCATGCATCTCACAATCTCCTGCACAGATGAAGACAGTTACACAGATGAGTGTGTGACAAACCTGAGAAGCAGCGATTGGTGTCAACTTTGAGAAACGTTACCTGATTCTTTTCATCCAGCACAATACTGAGGACCTGCGCGCTGTTTCCCTCCTCGATACACGTCTGCCCAGCAACCGTGAAGATGTTGTGATCCTCGGTGGTGTAGCTGTCGTCTGGAAGAGCCTGCTGCATGAAAAAGAGACAAACAAGTGGGTAAAAATAGAGAAAACAGACATTTTAAACAGTTACTTATTAAATATTATATTCTATCAAATATCTCAAAGACACAATCCTGGCATATTACACTCTGGTTTGGGTTCAGAACACAGTCACCCCCTCTGCTTTTAAGATTAGGCTTTTTGATAAAGTTTACAGTTAGATCAGGTGACCCTGAACCATCCCTTAGTTTTGCTGCTACCTCAGGCTGCTGAGGGACTTCCCATGATCCACTGAAGATTTCTCCTCTATTCCCGTCTTCACTAACTGAGCATTTATACACTGCTGCTGTATGGCAGTACATAGACAACAAAGCCATTGAATGGAAGTACATAGACCAATGGCGTGCTTAACTCACTCAACGCAACTCTACTCAGGCAATCAAATCCTTTACTCAGAGCACGTGTAAAAGTAGACAACTCGGAGAAGAGACGAGAGGCAGAAGCCAAAGGAATTAAGTCAGGGAAACAGACAGGGAGAAAAGGAGGGTTTAAAGTGAGATGGTTTACATGTGAAATGTAATTTAGAGAAAAGACAAAGAGGGGAAATTCAAAATACAACTTTTCATTA